CATCATTCCGCTCTACCCTACTTCCCCTCCCCCTCTACCACTCCTCTCTCCCAGTACACTCCCTCCCTTCCTTCTCCCCCTCCCTCCAGTCCTCTCTCCCACCCTCTCTACCCCTCTTTCTTCTATCCCAAAACAGACCATAGAAATGGATATAATTGTGTCTTGGATGTAAGGGTAAAGGTTCCCCTCGCACATATGTGCTAGTCATTCCCAACTCTAGGGGGCAATGCTCATCTTCATTTTGAAGCCAAAGAGCCAGCAGTGTCCAAAGACATCTCCATGGTCATGTGGCTGGCATGACTAAATGCCAAAGTCGCATAGAACACTGTTACCTTCCCACCCAAATGTGGTTCCTGTTTTTCCACTTGCATTTTCTACATACTTTCGAACTGCTAGGTTGGCCAGAAGCTGGGATAAGTAGTGGGAGCTTACTCTGTTGCCTGGCACTAGGGATTCGAACCACCGAACTGCCAACCTTTCTGATCAACAAGCTCAACATCTTAGCCACTGAGCCGCCGCATCCTGATAGAAGTTTATATTTGTAGCTCAGATTTGAACTTCAGGATCCTTGGTCCTTGGTGTCCCACAGGTACTTTTTCAAAAGGCAAGTGGATTTTTCTTCATTTGTTATTTTCCTTGAAGAGGTTTCACTTCTCACCCGAGAAGCTTCTTCAGTTCGGTTCTTCAGTTCAGAACTGAAGAAGCTTCTTGGAGAGCAGTAGCACTTAGACCAGTGTTTCTCAACCTTGGTGACTTTAAGTCCTGTGGACTTCAACTCTCAGAATCCCCCAGCCAGCATAGCTGGCTGGGGAATTCTAGAAGTTGAAGTCCACAGGACTTAAAGTCACCAAGGTTGAGAAACACTGACTTAGACTTATATACAGCTTCACAGGGCTTTACAGCCAGGGGTGGGATTCAAATAATTTAACAACTGGTTCTCTACCCTAATGACTGGCTGGGTGGGAATGGCATGGTGGGCATGGCCAGCGAGTGTGACAGGCAACACTCGGCCTCCCTGCAGCCTCCTGGGAGCAAAAATGGGATGTGGGGGATCGCTGTATCCCACACACCACATTTTGGGCCTAGTAGGCTTCCCTGCATTTATCTGCACCTCAGTACACCCACGTTATACCTATCCTCCGCGAGCTGCACTGGCTGCCTATTGGTCTTCGGATATGCTTCAAGGCGCTAGTCGTCACTTATAAAGCCCTNTTTCAGAGTGCATCACATAAATATTATGCCACAATGTGGTTTTTTTTTTTTTTTTTTTGGGGGTCAAAAACCTCGGCGCCTTAGCCGCCGAGCCGCCGCATCAGGGAGCCCGTGCGCAATTACCTGGCATCACCACAAATGACCCCTGTGGTTCCATGGCCACCAAGCAGGCGCTGAGGATGGAGGGAGAATCTGCAGAGGAGATGCCACACATCAAACACACCTCCTTCAACTGCTTGCTGATGGTCTGCAGGGAGCACTCCCCCAGCAGAATGCTCCAGTCTGAAAGACAGAGGGGGAGAGGGAAGAAATAGATGGCTGTCACCTAAAGAACTTTCTCCCACCCACAAGTCAAAGCAGAACGAGATTTTTAGCCCATTGCTTTTGGGGGGGGGAGGGGGGGAGAACACCTATCCTGGAGGACCATATCTGACTGGGTCCCATGTTATCAGTTACAGTTTTATAAGCGCATCTTGTTTTCGGTCAACACTGAAGCTTGGCCTGACTTGGAGGCTTTAGTGTTGTTGAGGGATTGGGTGGAGGGGGGAATAGAGATAGATGGGGTTTTGTAGCCAAAACAAAATAGTTTCCCTTGAGAACCAAGGACATTCCCTACAGGTGGCTGGAAAGAGGAGTGAAGTTTCCAAGCAATCGGATGGCTCCTTGATTGGACCATGTGACTGACTGCCTGGGGAAAGGGTGGGAAAACATTCGCTTTTAATTAGGTGAAAACAACGGGAAACTTTAGAGTCGTTTTTCACCCGTCTGTGCCAATAGGATGATGTGTCCAATGAACGTGTTCTTTGAGGAACCTGCTTGCCTCTGAGTCTTGTTTGCTACGGACGTATTACTTGGAAACCCGGCAGTTTCCCCTTAGCATCACTTTCACCATCCTCCTGTCTTAAGAATTTTATCCCAAAGGTGCTTTTTTAAAAGACAACTTTTGGTTCCATTCTCCACACACCCCGCCCCCAAAGATTGGTGAACACTGATGAAGGTGATCCAGGGCTGTTCTCTCCCAGGATTGTTATTCTAAACAAGTTAAAGGTAAAAGGTGAAGGTTTCACACACATGTGCTAGTCGTTCCCGACTCTAGGGGGCAGTGCTCATCTCCGTTTCAAAGCCGAAGAGCCAGCGCTGTCTGAAGACGTCTCCATGGTCATGTGGCTGGCATGACTCAACACCAAATGCGCACGGAACGCTGTTCCCTTCCCACCAAAGGTGGTTCCTATTTTTCTACTTGCATTTTTTACGTGCTTTCGAACTGCTAGGTTGGCAGAAGCTGGGACAAGTAACAGGAGCTCATTGCGTTATGCGGCACTAGGGATTTGAACCGCCGAACTGCTGACCTTTCTGATCGACAAGCTCAGCGTCTTGGCCACTGAGCCACCATATCCCCTTAGAGAAGAGCTAC